AAAGGCAACTTCGAACCATCTTTCTTTCTTCCTTCCAAGTGTGAAGAGGAAGAGGTACTGAGGACTGAATTAGGCCAAGATATATTCCATGCTTTTACAATTATGTCAAAATGGATTCTACGGTCGTGTGTAACTATAAAAAGAAAACAAAGGCCCATTAAAAAATGTTTGAGGAAGAAACCTGGCCTTTGGAAGCCAAGAGCAACTTCACCACCTGTATTTTAATACACTTGACAGTGACACTAGTAAGAAAGGTAACTACAGGGGAAGAGAGGGACTACTGATCAAATACCACCTCCTAACCTTTGATTGATTTGATTGGCTGATCAGAGCTCCCTGCAAGATGAAGTATTCTAAGCCAAAAGAAAACTCAGTGGTTATTTTAGTGGCTGTGGTGGGCATCTCCTAAAAGGGTCCCCAGTGATGTCTCCATTCTCATCTTTGCACCCTGGCATAGTGTCCTCCCCTTGCCTATAGCAGGACCTGGTTATTAGCTTCTAATTAAGAGAATACAATAAGAACCGTGGGACGTCATTTCTGAGATTAGGTTATAGAAGTCTGCGTCTTCTGCCCCTGCTGCTGTGCTCCTCAGCTTTCTACCTCTAATGAAGCCAGCTACTTGCCCTCCAGAGAGGCTGCCAGCAACAACCGAAGAGATTGCTAGCCAACAGCCAGCCATGAGCTGCTGCAGCCAATAACTAGTGTGAACACCTGGAAGAGGATGTTGCCCAGGTGAGTCTAGAGATGACTGTAGCCCCCACTGAGATCCCAACCACATCCTGTGGGATCTTGCAAGCTATTCCAGGTCCTGGCCCACAGAAATTGACACAAAACTCATGTTGTTCTGAGCCCCTGAGTTTTGGGGTGATTTGTTTTGCAGTAATAGATAACAAGTACACTTTCCAATCAGGCTTTCAGGTAGAAAAAACGAGATCATGTGTGTGCCTGAGTGCATGCCCAAGCCCAATACAACCAGAAATGTCCCTGAGTCTGAATCTCAACTCTTCCCCCACCCTCCCTGTTAATGAGAATGTCTCCTGATGAGTTTAGAACAAGGTTTTCTGATAGTTCAACTTGAGAACTGCCTTAATTTTGTGGGTAGAAGTGCTGGGTGAAGCAGAAATTTTTTTTTAATTTTTTATTGTTGGCTGTTCAAAACATTACATAGTTCTTGATATATCATATTTCACACTTTGATTCAAGTGGGTTATGAGCTCCCATTTTTACCCCATATACAGATTGCAGAATCACATCAGTTACACATCCATTGATTTACATATTGCCATACTAGTGTCTGTTGTGTTCTGCTGCCTTTCCTATCCTCTACTATCCCCCTCCCCTCCCCTCCCCTCCCCTCTTCTCTCTCTGAAGCAGAAATTTTAACACCAGACTCTTGTGCATAGGCAGAGTCCCTTTGGCATAGACCTTTCTTCTCATAAGAGTCAGTAGGTGCCAGCTTGCAAACATGCAGAGATTAAGCACCCAAACCAGGAGATGGGGTGGGGGTGGTATAGCATACTCAGCAACAGCTGGTCAGCATGGACACTGGCTAATGGGTCCTATCCAGGAAAGCCCTGGTCCCCAGGAAAGGCTGTGCAAGATTCTGGGATGCTTAACAAGGCTTTCTTCTCACTAGTACCACTTCCCCTCCCCACTTCTGCCTCCCAGTCCCTGGTAACCTCTCTTCTATTTTCGGTCTCTATGCATTTGCCTATTCTAGGTACCTCACGTAAGTGAGATCATAGAATATGAATCTGGCTTATTTCTCTTAATGTCATCAAAGTTTATCTGTGTTGTAGCATATATGACAACTTCATTCCCTTGTAAAGCTGAACAATATTCCATTGTGTGTATAGACTACATATCACCTAACCATTCATCTATCAATGGGTATTTTTTCCGTTTCTACCTTTTGATTATTGAGAATAATACCACTAAAGTGTGGGTGCACAAATACCTATTCAAGTCCATGCTTTCAATTCTCTGGGATCTAAATTTAAGAGTATAATTTCTAGGTACTATGATAATCCCATGTTCGATATTTGTAGGAAATGTTACTCTTTTTCCACAGTGACTGCACCATTCTACCTCCCCATAAGCCATGCACAAGAGTTCCAATTTCCCTTCATCATTTTTTCCAAATTATACCCTCCTGATTGGTGGAACATGGTACCTTATCATGGTTTGTTTGCTTGCTTGTTTGTTTCTTTTTCTGGTACTGGAGATGAAACTCAGGGTCTCGTGCTTACTACTCAAGTGCTCTACCACAGAGCTACATTCCCAGACTTTTTTATTTTTTATATTCAGACAGGGTCTCGCTAAGTTGCCCAGGCTGGCCTTGAACATGCCATCTTCCTGCCTCTTAGCCTCCCAAGTAGCTGGGATCACAGGTATGCACTGCCGTGCCAGGTTCTCACCATGGTTTTCATTTATATTTTCCTAACAATGAGTAATGTTTAGTTTTGTTTCATGTACTTACTGGTCATTTGTTTAAAAGACAAGGATTTTTGAACTGTCAGCAGCTAATTAAAGTCATGCATGGCGTCCTGCTACTTCCTTCTTCATTTATCTGCCCCTCCTTTCTTAGGAACACCCCAGTGGCATTCAGGTCTTTATTGGTTCAGCTAAATTATATTCAGCCTGTGAATAAATAACGCTATGTTTAAATAAAGTTTTATTTATAAATTTAAAGATATTTGATCTAAAAATTGCTTTTCATCTTGATCTTATGTCTTTCTTAAGCTTTTATATTAAAATATTCTGCCTTTTAAGCAGGTCAGGAGCTGGGTTGTATCTCAATAGTAGAACACTTGCCTAGCAAGGCCCCAGGTTTGATCCCCAGCACTTCAAAGAACAATAAAAGCAGATCAGAAGACAATGTGTCCATCTACAATTAAAAAAAATTTTTTTAAGTGTTTGTCATTTTTCAAGATCCACTGATAAAATAAAAAGGTAGGAATCTTATGTAAATCTCCAATTTTTTCCAAAACTTTCAGGACTGAGAAAATAATAAGTCTGACAACATTTGTGTTAGTTATCTATTGATGTATAATAAATTATTCTCAAATGTGGCAGTTGGAAATAATAAACATTTGGTTTTTTTCCAAAGTTTCTGTAAGTGGAAAGAGCCGATTCCCACTAGATCCGGGTCTTTCATGAGGTATGATTAGTGTGTGAACTGGATATGGTCTCATCTGAAGACTCAGCTGAAGAAGAAAGGCTCATTGCCAAGCTCATTCATAGTGCTGACAAGATTTGACTCCTTGCAGGCTTTTGAAACACTTTTTTTCCTTGAACTGTGGGGATAAAACCCAGGGCCTCATGCATGCTAGGCAAGTGCTCTGCCACTGAGCTACATTTCAGCCAAGTTTCACACTCTCTCTCTCTTTTTTTCCTTCTTAAAAGGTACCTCTCATAAACCAGGGTTTAATTTATTTATTTGTCTCTGTGTGTGTGTATATATGTGTGTGTGTGTGTGTGTGTGTGTGTGTTGCTGGGAATTGAACCTAGGGCTTTGTGCATGGGAGGCAAGTACTCTATCAACTGAGCTACGTTCCCCCACCCCCAGTTTTGCAGTCTTTTGAATTAAGGAACTCAATTCTTTCCCTTATGTCTCCAAAAGGCTGGCTTCGAGAAGAACAAGTCAGCCAAAAAGCAAGAGAGGGCAAGCAAGATGGAAGCCAGAGTCTTACAGAGGATGCCTCTGCAACCATAATCCAGAATATGGGAAAGCCAGATTTGGAGGGACAGCAAGCCTCGTTTAGTGTTGCAAGAGGAAAGGAGAAAGGGCTGGGAGCCACCACCCCTACCTGCACAGGTATGTTGAAAAGAAGCTGAGGGATGGCAGACCCCTGGCTTCCATCTTCACCAAAAAAACTATAGAGAAGCTACCAAGAACTGGGGGAGAGGGGCAGATGGTGATGTAGGAGACTTGAAAACAAAGAGCTTTAAAATAGCTGGTGTGGAGAACAAGAGACAGATGTGAGCAGAGAAACTCACATAAAGTTATGTCCTAGCTGGGACCTGAGCCTGGAGAAGATTTTTTTTTAACTCTGCACAAGCTGAACTTCAAGACTCCAAGCAGTTTGTATCCATAACAAGGAGTTGATACTTATAAAAATCCACCCCAGAGTCAGACTAGACTTTTCCTGGGAAAACCATCTTGCATGAAGTAAATGACCAACTTGTTATCTCTGCAGGGCACTAGGAAGCCACAAGGAACCTTGTGTATCTTGTGGGGAGAAAGGGAGCTGGATGGGGCTCTGGGCATCCTATATGCACATATAATGTTGCATCCCTGAGCCAACCAGCTGCAACCAGAGCACAAGTGGGCTGCTGTCCCTCTCAGGAATTAGATCAACAACCTACTTTCAAGTGTCCTAGGCAAGACAAATCCTTGTCACCAATCACTCATGGAGAATAAGCGGGAATTAAATGGGACCTAGACTGCCAAAGAATTCAGAATCATTTTCACCAAATTCTACTTTTAAATCAAGGTCAAAAAACCCACTGACCTTGAACCTTTGTTTTAACAACAGCCACTGTTAGCCCCAGAACAGGACCCTGAAACAGACTGCATACTTACCTTAGAGACACCAACATTCTTTGCTGGTCCCTAATATGCTGTGGACCTGGAAATAAATCCCCAGGCTCACTGACCTGAGCTATATTCCTTATGCCCAGAAGGAACAGGAACCAAATGAAAAAAAAAAGGTGTGAGAGAAAAAATTTTGAAGAGAATGATATTTACAGATAGGCTTACTGTCTTTCTTGCTTTAAACTTCTGAACTTTAAAGCTTTGGACAGGTGCAAATTTGTAATCAGATTGTCAGACACAGAATTTTCTGGCTGGGGGATAGAGTCCTTCCAGCTTCCTGAATTTTCTTCTTATAATCAACTCCATGGAGATTTAAAATAACTGTGCAAGAGATAGGCTTAGCCATCAAAAACCAGGAAAGAGGGGGATGTGAGCCTTGCATTACTGTAGGAGGACTTTTTGTGTGTAAATCCAGCACCTAATTCCACACGCCCACTTACGGTGGTACATCAGCCAAGAACCGCGCTTTCCGAGGCTGGTTTTCCCACAGTAAGCTGGGACTGGGAACCCATCTCTCCCAGGCAACAGCCACTTCCTGGCTCCAGTTAAGGAGCCAGAAAGAGAAACCACAGAAACCTAAAGGACAGGAGAGGACGCCTCCAGTCTAGGTGCGTATGCTCCACAGGCACCACTCGCGCGCTCCTGTCCCCTGACCCTGGCTGGGAGGCAGAGTGGCCAGAGGTCGCAGGTGAGTTCTCCTGAGAACGTTCTGAGTCGGAGGTGGGAGGAGAAGGACCGGTTCAAAGACAAACCGTGATGCCTTGCCAAGGTGACCTTATTGTGGACCCTGAGAAACAATTTGGTCCTGGAGATCATCGCCCCTTTCGCGTCTCCAGACGCCCCCCAGTGGTCGCAGCGCACCTTGCAGCTCCACGGTTCCCTTGAGGGGTTATAGCAGCCACACCCGGGGTGAGGCAGACAAAAGATGTTGCAGGGTGGGAGGCCCTCTAGGACCCCTCCTTCCAAAAGCAGGTCTGGGAGACTGCAGCACCTTCCGCAGTGGGCTCGGGCGGCTGGGTCTGGGCTCCAGACACGGGCAGAAGTGGTGACCAAGGAGGAGGGACGCTTCCGAACAACTGGATGCCCAGGGCCCAGAGAAGTGCCTGGAGCCCAGTGGCTGCTCACAAAGAAGGGATGGCGAACTGGATGAGCTCAGGAAGCAGTCGGAGGGCTGAGAGGCGACCAGCCCCCGGCCTCCGGGGTCTGTAGCATGAGATGCTTCCCGCGATAACCATTCAGACATGTCTAGACCACACTGGGTGGATTCTGGACAGACAGACAGACACACACACACACACACACACACACTTCCAGGTCCATGCACGCCCCATTTTTGCAAACATTTTGCTCCTCGCAGAGAAAGAAAAATAAAGGATAAAGGTCCGGGCCTTGGGGGCTACGTTTCACTGATCTTCCTCTCAGCTCCTGCGGGGCTTTGCAGCGTTGCGCTGACAGGGTAATAAGGCACTGCCCCCTGGTGGCCTCTTCCCGCCACAGCAACTGTTGTTAACTTGGGCCACTGGCTGTAAATTCTCCGCTCTGTCAGTTTGTGCAACCCTCTACTCCACCCCTGTCACAACCACCTGGGGATGGGCACAAGAGGGTCAAAAGAATATCATAAAATAGCATTTTCTGATTAAGTTCACTTGTGGAATTGTGGGTTCTAAGGACCTCCATAGTTTCCAACCAATTAATTTAAAAACTTCCAGGGAGTCTGGGCCACTCTGACAGTCACCATTTTCTCTTGCTGAGATAACCCTTTCTCTGCCCCTTGCTCTCCTTCTCTCCCTAGTCCTCTCAGTTCTGAGCTCCACCATGGCCCCTGTCAAAGGCCCTCCTACATAGTCCTGCTGGCCTGCTCTTCTTCCTCTCCACCTACTCAGAGCTGCCCTTTCCATCTCACAGCAAGTGACTCTCTAAGTTCAAGTTGGTGCCACCACAGATGACGTCTTTCTTCAGGTCGCTTCTCACAGTCCATGTCAGTATTACCCCCACCGCCATTCCAAGGTCTCAAGTTAGGCTCTCAGACTAAAATTCCTGCTTTATTTTCAAGGTAAGGTTTTTTGTTTTGTTTTTACATTTTTAAGCCTGTTCCTTTCAGCTATTGGATTGATTGAGAAAGTATTGGGTATAAAAGATAAAGGCAGAGAATGAGGACATTTAGATCCCAGGCCTGGTGCTTACCAACCACCTCTGAAACCCTGAAGTGGCATCAGTGGAGAATTCTGGTGCTTGCAGATGGAGGTGGATCTTAAGTGTGCTGAGCTGACCCAGAGGGCAGTGATGAAGCAACAACTGAGGAGATACTCCTGGGCTTCCCTGAGCTACTGGGCAGGTGTAGATAAGTGGCCAAGGGTTCAAGAGGGAGAAAAATAAAAATAACTTTATCCAAGCTTGCTGAGATATCTGATCACTTCATGTTCCTAAGAAAAGAATTCCTGTAGCATTGTAAGTTCCCTTCCTCTGACAAAATTTCTAAGCTAGGGTGTGTGACTTGGTAGTGGAGCACTTGCCTAGCATGCACAAGACCCTAGGTTTGGTCCTCAGCTCCTAAGGAGTGTAGGGGGGGAGTTTTTTTTTATTGGTTGTTCAAAACATTACATAGTTCTTGATATATCATATTTCATACATTAGATTCAAGTGGGTTATGAACTCCCATTTTTACCCCAAATACAGATTGCAGAATCACATTGGTTACACATCCACATTTTTACATAATGTTACACATCCACATTTTTACATAATGCCCTATTAGTAACTGTTGTATTCTGCTACCTTTCCTATCCTCTACTATCCCCCCTCCCCTCCCCTCCCATCTTCTCTCTCTGCCCCCTCTACTGTAATTCATTTCTCTCCTTGTTTATTTTCCCATTCCCCTCACAACCTCTTATATGTAATTTTGTATAACAATGAGGGTCTCCCTCCACTTCCATGCAATTTCCCTTTTTTCTCCCTTTCCCTCCCACCTCATGTCTTTGTTTAATGTTAATCTTCTCTTCCTGCTCTTCCTCCCTGCTCTGTTCTTAGTTGCTCTCATTATATCAAAGAAGACATTTGGTATTTGTTTTTTAGGGATTGGCTAGCTTCACTTAGCATAATCTGCTCTAATGCCATCCATTTCCCTGCAAATTCCATGATTTTGTCATTTTTTAGTGCTGCAAAATACTCCATGGTGTATAAATGCCACATTTTTTTATCCAATCATCTATTGAAGGGTATCTGGGTTGGTTCCACAGCCTAGCTATTGTGAATTGTGCTGCTGTAAACATCAATGTAGCAGTATCCCTGTAGTATGCTCTTTTAAGGTCTTCAGGGAATAGTCCAAGAAGGGCAATAGCTGGGTCAAATGGTGGTTCCATTCCCAGCTTTCCCAGGAATCTCCATACTGCTTTCCAAATTGGCTGCACCAATTTGCAGTCCCACCAGCAATGTACAAGTGTACCCTTTTCCCCACATCCTCGCCAGCACTTGTTGTTGTTTGACTTCATAATGGCTGCCAATCTTACTGGAGTGAGATGGTATCTTAGGGTGGTTTTGATTTGCATTTCTCTGACTGCTAGAGATGGTGAGCATTTTTTCATGTACTTATTGATTGATTGTATGTCCTCCTCTGAGAAGTGTCTGTTCAGGTCCTTGGCCCATTTATTGATTGGGTTATTTGTTATCTTATTGTCTAATTTTTTGAGTTCTTTGTATACTCTGGATATTAGGGCTCTATCTGAAGTGTGAGGAGTAAAGATTTGTTCCCATGATGTAGGCTCCCTATTTACCTCTCTTATTGTTTGGGGGGGGGAGTCTTATAGAGACTCTGTTGGTTGGGGAGAACAAAGGGACAGTGTCAGGTATGTTAGAATCAAGAACTCTCTAGAGACATGGGTACTTCAGCTGGATCCAGTTATTCCTGAACCAGAACTTCCCGAGCCTTTCTAGTTACTTGATCCAAAAATAAACCTTGTTCCAGTTGCATGACCTAATAATAGATCTCCTTTTGTGTTTCAGTTCTAAAGAGTGGGGGTTTTGTTACTCATAACCAAATGAGTCATTTTACAATATGGGAGCTTGTTAAAACTTCCAATAATTGGATATGGGCTAGCAAGAGGGTGACCTCTCAGTGAGTGGCAATATAAAGATCACAGAGCTATGAAGAGAGGCAGAGCAGGCAGGTGGGTAGAATCCAGGTTTTATCTGGCATGCAAACTGAATTAAAGTAGAAGTCTTTCTATACCTCTCGTTCTTTATTTGTTTTTTGTTGTTTATTTTGCAGTCCTGGGGATTGAACCCAAGGCCTACCACATGCTAGGCAAGAGCTCTACCACTGAACTACATCTCCAACCATGTTGATTTTGAAACAGGGTATCACTAAATTGCTGAGGCTGGCCTTGAACTTGTGATCCTCCTACCTCAACTGTGATTACACCATACCCAGCTCCTGAAGTCTGTCCTTCTAAATGCTGAGTGCGGTCCAGTCCAGGAGACTATGGATCAGTGAAAAGTCTGTTTTGCATTTTCACACAGTAGGTTGATCACCTCCCCAACGCTAAAGTACCTCTCACTCTACCCTTCAAGATATTGGGACGTAACACTCAATTTTGAAGTATTGTGGGTGCCAGAAAAGAGTCACACACAATTAAAAAAAAAATCTACCCAAGTCCAAATGGCATGAACTAGCTACACACAAAGAGAGAAGAGGCCCCCGTGGATTGAGGATTATTAAATATGAAGTATGTTTGTCAGGAAAAAACTTTGTTTATATAAACATTAGAAGCGCCGCCATGGTAACTCTGCTTGGTTTACTCGGCAGCCCAGTATGGCCTCACAGCCAAATTACTGCCTGCCTACATTTTTTAAAAAACATCTCTAGCCAAAATTCCATGATCTGCCTGCTTGGTTTCCAAGCTCAGAAAATATCACTTAAAAGTACCAGGGAACCAAAAGAAACTTCTGCCAAAGCTTCTAAATGAAAGCTCATTTCTCACACACACACACACACACACACACACACACACACACACACAAGTTTTTGCCAAACTACAGTATGCTTTTCTTTTTTTATGTGACCCAAGTTTCCTTAGGCCTCATAAGGTTGCAGGGCCAATAAAATAACATTAACATATGAGCAAGGGTAACTCATATTCCATTCGTTCTAGGTTTTTCTCCCACCTGCTCACAAAAGCTGTGAGCCTCCTAGAAGTGCTCCTGAGTAGTTTAGGGGTGTGCTTAGATGCAGCCTACTATATCCACTGCCAGTGACAGCCAGGCCTAGCTCAGAAGAGATGTCCACTGGCTTCCCCCATCACCTCCAAGCTCTCCCTACCAGTCAGGGCATTTGGTATGTGTGAGGCCTTTGGTATGTGAAGAACACCTCTCTACCCTTTGTGTCACATTCAATCAACATATCCCAAACTAAGCTGTGGTGCCTCCTATCTTATTGGCTTTTTCACTAGGAGATCTCAGTTTACTCACATGCCCCTGCCCTATAAAGAAACCAGCCATGAATTCAAGGGCTAGTCCAGGTGCTGGCTCGACTCCGGATTGCACTTCCCGTCAGCAACTAAGGGTCAATGTGTCACGTCTGCCCCTTAGGAAGCCATTCATGCCCTCACCCAAGGAACCTTCTAGTTAGCCTAGCTGCCTCATTCAGTTAAGTCTGTACCCACTTATCCCCAGTCGGAGATCCTTTGTCCATGAGAGGAGAGAGACCACTAGAGAAAGCCACAGCGACAGCCACCCTCTCTGTGTGGCCGTCTGAGGCAGCTGAGAAGACCTGGGTCTGAGCACTGGGGGGAAAGGATTGCTCCACTCCAAGGGAAAAGCAAATTGACATCAGATTATTTTCCTACAGCTTTTCCCACTTCTTAATATTTGCCACATTGCATTCCACATTCCAATTTTCAAAAGGACAGGAGCATTAATAATATAAAAGAAAGAAGTGAAATTAACCGGAATCAAGAACTTTATTATTTTCAAGTGTAAAAAAAGCATGAGATTTATGGCTGAGCATCAAGTATAGCTTTGACCTGAAATGTTCTCTTCGAGATACCAGGGGAACCACCTGGCTTAGAACCAGACCTGCAGGGATACTGTGACACTTCAATAAATCAAATTAAAGTTATTTATTAAGTTGGGTCAGATTTCGGATTTCTCAGTTTTTCTTGCTTGCTGTCGTTTTTGCTTTCTTTTAAAGGTTTCTAAATTTCTTAATTTAATAGAGAATAAGGCCTTCTCTCTCAATTACCTACTTCCCATTCGGATCTGCTGAGTTTTAACTTCCATATGTTACTCAGAACACTAAAAGCCCATTTATAAATATTAATTCAGGTAATGACTGTTTAAGAGCTTCAAGGCCCCAATTCATTATCTCTTTTTGATATCAGCTCAGGCTTCGATTCACACATTTCCAATTTAACTGAGGGTAGAGGGGAAGCAAAAAAAAATTACTTTTGGAGAAAAGAAAGTTGACTTGTCCTGGTGTTTCAAGCCAGCATCCCAGTAAAAACTGATACCTCTCTTTAGTTCTAGCACCAGTTGAGGAGTAGGGAGAAAGACGCTGAACATTTTTTAACATAGATCAGGACTTCTATATCATTACTTTATTGAAAGTGCTGTGCATACATAAGCAAGGTACATTTGCACTTTTTGGCACTGAAACCCAGATCTGCAGGGGCACACAGCACTCCCTCCTCCCATGTGAAGCTTCAAACACTACACTTGAGCAGTTTCGGTCCATGCATGTAAAGAGATAAATGTTTCCTGAGCATTTTAAAGAATACATCCCCATCCCCACCCCAGGAAGACAAAGAATTGTGGCTCCTACATATTCTTGCCTAAGGTTGTACAATGGGCCCAAAGAAGCTGTGGGATCTGAAGATGATGTTTCTGTCACCTACAGCTAGCTTCTCTTTGGTAATTGCTAAAAATGCATATTCCTGCACCCCCATCATCTGAATCATAATCTCTTTTGTTGACTGGGGAATCTTTTTGTTTGTTTCTTTGTTCTTTTTAGACATGCATGACAGTAGAGTATTTTTTTTCTGCTTTAAAAAAATTGTTAGTGCATGCTAATTATTCAGAATAGTGACTTTTATTATGACATATTCATACATGCATATAACTTATTTTTGTTCTTTTTAGATATACATGACGGTAGAGTATATTCTGACATATTATACATACATGAAATATAAGTTATTCTAATTAGGATCCCATTATTGCAGTTGTACATGATGTGGAGTTTCACTGGTAGTGTATTCAAATGTGAACATAGGAAAGTTATGTCCTTATTCATTCTACTGTCTTCCTTATTCCCATTCCCTCTACTTTCCCTTCCTTCCCTTTAGTCTAATCCAGTGAGCTTGACTGGTGATTTTTTTTTTTAATACCAGGGATTGAACTCAGGGGCACTTGACCACTGAGCTACATCCCCAGCCCTATTTTGTATTTTATTTAGAGACGGGGTCTCACTGAATTGCTTAGCACCTCACTTTTGCTGAGGCTGGCTTTGAACTCGTGATCCTCCTGCCTCAACCTCTGGAGCCACTGGAATTAGAGGCATGAGCCACTTTGCCCAGCTTGACTGGGAATCTTCAGTTTTGTTTGTTTGTTTGTTTGTTTTTAGATGGGGTCTCACTGTGTTGCCCAGGCTGGCTTCAAACTCTCTATCCTCCCATCTTAACCTCCAAAGTAGCTGGGATTACAGGCATGCATCATCACATTCAGAGGAATCTTTACTTTTTTAGCAGATTCCTCTGGCACATTACTATTTGAGAGTTACTTCACCAAATTCTAAAAGGAAACTAAAGAAGACAAAGTAGCCTTTTTTTTTTTTTTTTTTTGCAAGGTTATACTCTTCTGGGAAACAACAGAGATCAGGATACCAATAAGGTCCTTTAAGAGTTATGGTTGTGCTGATTTAATCCCAAATTCAGATTACTAAGTGGTATCAAGCCATTCATCAAGCCATGAATGCAGAAAGCAATTCTGGACTGGTAAGAGTCTTAGGCTCCTCACAGAAACAAACACAAACTCTCTCTAAAGAAAGGAGCATGAGCCTCAAAAAATTCCCCTAGGTAATTTTCCACAAAACCCACCATCAAAATTTAAAAAGCACACAAAGAAACAAGGCACCAGGAACAAATATTAACAGAAACAACAGACAACCTGGATATTGGAAATATCAAATAGAGACTTTAAAATAACTCTGCATAGTCAAGCACCATTGTTCACACCTGTAATCCTAACAACTCTGGAGGCTGAAGCAGGAGGATCACAAGTTTAAGGCCTACCTTAGCAAGATCCTGTCTCAAAATAAAAAGGGTTGGGAATGTAATTCAGTGGTAGAGCACCCCTGGGTTCAATCCCCAGTACTGAAAAAAATAAAGTCTGATATCTAAATAGCTGCTGTGGGAACCAAGAGACAATATGCTAAAAGAAAATAACTGCCACCTAGAGTTTAAAGTCCATTAAAATAAAGACATACTTGAACAAGCAAAACTAGTTTGCCTCTAGCAATCTGTCATTAAGGAACATCTAAGAAAGTAATCCCAGACAAATGTATAAGAAGCAGAAGAAATAAAGACAAATGTGGAAAAAATCTAAATAAACATTGTACAAAACAATACTTCTGTGATGTTAAATAATAAATATAATTTATATCTTATTAACATTAGTATGGAAGAGAGAAATGAGGCTTAAATTCTATAAGGTCCTTTCATAGTCTAGAAGGAGGATAACCACATAGATTAACTTCAGACTTTGATACCTCATGTCTGAATATTATAATTTCTACAGTGACCTAGAAAAGAGCACAAACAATGCACAGCATTCAAACAAATAGGAGGGAAATGGATTGATGAAAAGCATTTAATACAAAAGAGGTAAAAAAAAAAAGAAGAGGAAAAAGAAACAGGATTAGCAGATCAAACAGAAAGCACACAATAACATAATAGGTACAAACCTAACCTAAATCATTTTTAATATAAATGGACTGTGTTCCATTTAAAGGCAAACACTTTTAAATTGCATTTTTAAAAATCCAATAAGATACTGTTCACAAGAATTTATATCTACAATAAGGAGACAAGTTGGAAAATTAAAAAATGAAAAATAGTGCTCGCTTCAGCAGCACATATACTAAAATTGGAATGATACAGAGAAGATTAGCATGGCCCCTGTGCAAGGATGACACAAATTTGTGAAACATTTCATATTTTTTAAAAAGCTTCTTTTCAGCCAAAGAGACAATCAGTGAGGTTAATAGACAGCCTACAGAATGGGAGCAAATTTTTACCCCTCACACATCAGATAGAGCACTAATCTCTAGGATATATAAAGAACTCAAAAATCTTAACACCAAAAAAAAAAATTACCCAATCAATAAATGGGCCAAGGAACTGAACAGACACTTCTCAGAAAGTGAAGTACAATCAATCAACAAATACATGAAAATATGTTCAACATCACTAGCAATTAAAGAAATGCAAATCAAAACTACTCTAAGATTTCATCTCACTCCAGTCAAAATAGTAGCTATTAAAAATACAAGCAATAAGTGTTGGTGAGAATGTGGGGAGAAAGGCACACTCATACATTGCTTAGGGGACCGTAAGTTGGTGCAACCAATATGGAAAACAGTATAGATATTCCTTGGAAAACTTAGAATGGAACCACCATTTGACCCAGCTATCCCACTCTTCAGTTTGTACCCAAAGGGCTTTAAAAAAGCATACTACAGGGACATAGTCACATCAATGTTTATAGCATCACAATTCACAAAAGCTAAATTGTGGAACCAATCTAGATGCCTTTCAGTAGATGAATGGATAAAGAAAATGTGGTGTATATATATACAATGGAATATTACTCAGCATTGAAAGAGAAAAAAATCATAGCATTTGCAGGTAAATGGATGGATTTGGAGAATATAATGCTAAGTGAAGTAAGCCAATCCCAAAAAAAGCAAATGCTGAATGTTTTCTATGATATAAGGAGGCTGATTCATAGTGGGGATAGTGGAGGGGGGATCATGGGAAGAATAGATGAAATTTAGATAGGGCAAATGGGAGGGAGGGGAAGGGAGGGTTATAAGTGAAGGAAAGAGGGTGGAATGAGATGGACATCATTACCCTATGTACATGTATGAAGACACAGATGGTGGGACTCTACTTTGTGTACAAAGACATGAAAAATTGTGCTCTGTATGTGTAATATAAATTGAATTGGTATTCTGCTGTCATATATAACAAATTAGAATAAACAAATATATATAGTTCAAAAAATATTCAAAACTCATTATAGATTCTTTGGGAATTTTCATTTTCAATCATTTGCCTTGTACTAGGTCCCTATAAACATGGGCTTTATTTGCTCTAAGGCAAATTTTACAAATGTGGAAAATAATTTCAGTGTTTGCAACTTTAGCAATGTGTATTTTCTATAAATTTTTAGAGCATTTTCTTTCCAGATTTTTCTTTATGCACTGTTCTACTCATAATCAACAGCTTCTGGGTATCATTTTATCAATTTCTGTAACTTTCATTTAACATGATATACTAATGATAATAATGAAAAATGATAAAATATCTACTTCAAAAAAATAAGTATCAAGCAATTAAACAGAAGGAAGTTGATGTGACTATATTCTTATCCAAGAAACTATATTTTAAATTAAAAATTATAAGTAATGAATTAAAAGGGTCCTTTATAAGAAAAACATTTCCAAAGCATCAATAACAACTTTAAATGTGTATGGATATAAATATAATATTAAAGTGTATGAAGCAGAGAAAATATATAAAATAGTAATATGAGAAGAAAAAACAGTTCCACAATCATAATAGAATATATTAAAACACCTCTCTCAGTAACTGATAGAACAAGAAAAAACATTAATGTCGATATATATGATTTGAAGAACACAATTGTAAAATGACCTCATGGGCATATATAGAACACTATTCCCAGCATCAGCAAAATACCCATATTAAATTCAAACACACGGAGAAAACTTGAAAAAACTGACCACATATCACACTGAAAGCAAGTATCCAAGAGATTTAAAAGATTAAAATAGGGAAGTGTGTGCAAGTCAGGGGGTCTCTAACAGGAAAATATAGTCGGGTTAAGAAAGAAAGGGGGGGCCTGCGACCCACCGGCAGAACAGGAGCAGCGGCCTGCTGAGAGGCAGGGCCGCCCCCTCCCCCTGCGCTGGCAAGGTAGATGGAACTGTGACCACCCACAGAACAGGCCCAGCGGCCTGCTGAGGGGCAGAGCCGCCCCCCACCCCCCGCGCCTGCCAGGTAGGCGGAACTGTGACCACCGACAGAAAAGGCCCAGTGGCCCGCGGAGGGGCAGAGCTGCCAACCACTCCTGCAAGGTAGGCGGGCCTGCGACCCACTGGCAGAACAGGCGCAGCGGCCTGCTGAGAGGCAGAGCCGCCCCGTCCCCCCGCACCTGCAAGGTAGACGGAACTGTGACCACCAACAGAACAGGCCAGACCTGCAACCGACAGACAGAACAGGCCCAGTGGCCTGAGGAAGAGTACAGCCGCCCCCCCCCCGCGCCTGCAAGGTAGGCGGACCTGCGACCCACCGGCAGAACAGCCCCAGAGGCCTGCAGAGGGGCAGTGCCGCTGCCTGCGCCTGCAAAGTAGGCAGAACTGCGACCACCGACAGAACAAGCTAGCGGCCCGCAGAGGGACAGAGCCGCCGCCCGCGCCTGCAAGGTAGGCGGACCTGCTACCGACCGGCAGAGCAGGCCCAGCGGCCTGCCGGCGTGGTAGGCACATTGCCCCAATTGGAGGAGGGGCAGAGCCGCTGCCCGCGCCTGCGAGGGAGACTTTGCAACTATACAAGACCAATATAAATATATAGGGGGAAAATTCAATAGCACAACAGTTTTACCAAGTAGAAAGGAACGCGAACAGTATGAAGAGACAAGGAAAGAAAGGACCACAAGCAATGCAGGTCAACTCAATGTTAGAAGAGGTAATAGCTGCAGCAGATGGAATGTCAGATAAAGAATTCAGGATATACATGCTTCAGATGATCTGGAGTCTCAAGGAAGACATCAGACAGCAAAATCAGACAATGAAAGATCACTTCAACAATGAATTACATAAACAAATCCAAGAAGCAAAAGATCAACTATACAGGGAGATAGAGGTTATAAAAAACAAACAAACAGAAATCCTAGAAATGCAGGAAGCAATAAGCCAACTTAAAAACTCAATTGAGAATACTACCAGCAGAGTAGAACACTTAGAAGATAGAACATCAGACAATGAAGATAAAGTATTTCAACTTGAAAAGAACATAGACAGCTCAGCAAGACTGTTAAGAAACCATGAGCAGAACATCCAAGAAATATGGGATAACATCAAGAGACCAAATTTAAGAGTCATTGGGATACAGGAAGGGACAGAGTTTCAAACCAAAGGAATGAGCAATCTATTCAATGAAATAATACGAGAAAACTTCCCAGACTTGAAGAATGAGACAGAATCCCAAATCCTAGAAGCCTACAGGACGCCGAATGTGCAAAATCATAAGAGACCCACACCTAGACACATTATAATGAAGATGCCCAACATACAGAATAAGGAGAGAATTTTAAAAGCTACAAGAGAAAGGAAGCAGATTACATTTAGGGGTAAGCCAATCAGGATAACAGCTGATCTTTCAACACAGACTCTGAAAGCTAGAAGATCCTGGAATAATATATTTCAAACACTGAAAGAAAATGGGTTCCAACCAAGAATTGTGTTTCCAGCGAAATTAAGCTTCAGGATGGAAGATGAAATTAAAACCTTCCACGA